ATATTGTAAAAAATTGAATTCAAATTCTCCTGAAAGTTTGGATAATCATACTCGCTTTCCTGATCATTTGTCTCATTTCCGTGTTGGTGGTGTTCGTGTATTTTCGGCAGCGGCAAGTTTATATATATATGTATATATATATATATATATATGAGATATATTCACCCTATTTCGTTAAACTTATGATAGATTAGTAGTTAAATGTTTTTACAATGATATAGGTAGGCCTTACGTCTCCATTGAATTTTACATGCCTCTGATTCCCAATATGTATTCTCATCCAGGTAGGGATGGACTGCAGTTTTGACCTAACCTGAACTGGCCTCATCAACACTCCCGGCGGGACTCAAACTGTGATAGTGCAGCATATAATCTTGACACGTTAATTGCTAGGCCACACTACGACGAGTACCGTTCGGTCACAGGCTTATTTTCTCGATGGCTTGGGATTTCCCCATACAGAATTCTATGGTGGATGTTCGATAGGGCAAAGTTGTATTTGTTATTGCATTCTACTACCCTACTTATTTTTTTACGATAAGTAGGTTTTCGAAAAGCATGGCTACGTGATTAGTAATGAAAATATAAGGTATACTCATATCATTGTGGCATAATTCAGCTGCCAGTCCTTCATCCTCTAAATAAACAGGGTGAACAAATCTCATATACAAATTTTCATATAGTTGTTAATTTTATTTTTATACGTACAGATCAAAGTCATTTTCATTTTTGAAAATTTTTTAGATAGTGTACTAACCAAAGGTTTAATATTATATTATTTTCAATAAAACATTATGCGAGGAATTTGGATAAATTGCTTTATAAATTTGAAAAATGCTATTTATTGCTATTTTCTCTACTTTAATTAGGCCGTACCCAAGCAATTTTGAACAATCCAGTTACATAAGCAAGGTTTTGACAAAAGTTGGTCATCTTTCCTCAACCTGCGATTAATAGAGATTACTTTTGATTTCCAAATTGGAATGTAAAAAGCTAAGGGATAAAAGCATATGATTTAGGGCCATTGTGATTAGCTAACTAGTCTTACGAGTTATTTTGATGAAGCCTCTTGAGACCACTTTACAGAAAAGTTTATCTGAAAGCGGCTTTCTGCGTTATTATTAGGGCTTAGCAAATAATTTACACAGTTTATAATTTTTTTAACTCAGATTAAAATATTTTAAACTCTGTTTAGCATTTATAGATACTTTCCTTTCTTATGCCTTTTATCTCAAAATTTGTACAACCCTTTTATTTCATGGCCGTATTTTTAGTGATTTACATAATATACTCAATTTGTTGTTTTCTAAATATGTATTAGCTTACTAAAGTAGACTTTATAATATTACTTTTTGATTTGCTTATTTTAAATCAATCTCTATAGATAAGAGCCCTCAGCCATTCGAAAAGTTTAATTC